CCCCCCCCATTGCACCTCCGTCCCGGCAGGACCTCATCCGGCTCCCTCTTCTCTCCTTCTCGGATGTCCTTGTTGTTTTTTTCATGAGAAATGGATCCCCTTCCCAGCGGCTGATGCCGGTCCCTGGCAGGGGAAGGAGGCGAGGAGGGTCTCTCCCCCCCTCCCTGGCGCTGATCCCAGCTGCTCTCCTGTCCCCCCACACACACACACACACACCACCACCACTGTGAGAGTCTGCCTGAGCCTTGCTGCTTTTGCTGCAGGAGAGGCAACGCCGCTTTCACCCTTATTGCACCCCCCCCCGCGCGCACACACACACGCACGCACGCACACACACACACACACACACACACACACAAACAGCTGGGATGGTGCAGATGAAGGAGGTGGGGGTGCATACACACGATCACCCCCACCCCCACGCCGCTGACCTGAAGCTGGCTCCGTCCCAGGACCAGCCCTCTTGAACCCGGGTGGTCAGTTCCGGAAGGGACGCCTCGTGGGGTTTCTGCAGAACCAGCTGGCCTTTGTGCCGAGGAGCCCAGCAAGATCACTCTGTGGGGCCCCCTCCCCAATATCATCCGAAGCCCTTGTGTGTGTGTGTGGGGGGGTGTCCCTCCCAGGTTCTAATGGCATCTGCACCCTTTTCCCTTCCTCGTCCGCCCAGGAGGAGGGCTGCTGCTGGGTTAGGGGAGGGTCCAAATGTGGGCACAACAGAGGCCTTGCAGCAGGAGTGGGGGGGCTGAGGGCACCGCATGTGCTGCTCTGGGATGCCACGTTCACCCGAAGCCCAAGTGGGGGGCACTGTCAGCTCTCAAGAGGGGCTACAGCCGCTCCTGTCCATGGGAGCCCCTGTTCCGTTCCCTCCCGGCTGCATTCCTGTCCTTGCCTTGCGTTGGGGCTGCCCTTGGAGACTGCCTGGGAGCTTCCCTTTGTGCAGAAAAGCAGGCGGCTGATCTTCAGCCTGGTCCCAGACGTCCTGTCGGGCTCTGGAAGACTCCCACTGTGGGGCGTGGGGAAGCCCTTCTTGCCGGGGGTGGGGAGGGAGGCACCGTTTGGCGGTAGCGGCTGCCTCCCCCTGGAACGGGCATGGCTGGCGCTGGCAGTGCCCTCCGTTGGGCACAAGGTCAGAGCCGTTTTATCCCTTCGGCCCCTTGACGGGTCTCCTTTGACCGGGTCCGGGGCTTTATTCGGGGCCTCCCCGGCTGGGTCGCTGTTCCGGAGCGCTGGAGCCCTGATGTTCACATGCCCTCTCGATGGTCGAAGGGCTGGTCTCTGGCCGGCCACTCCCGGGATTATTCCAGGCGTTTTGCTGCCTGCGGTGTTTTAAAAAAGGAAGGGAAACTCTTTTGTCGCCCTAATGACCCTGTAAGGTTGGTCTGTTTCAGCCCCCCCCGAGAGGCCAGGCCCCCCCCCTTCTGACTGGGGGGCCAAGGGGGAGCCCCGAGGGCTCCGAAGCGATCCCTGGACCGTCGTCCCTCCGCCCACGGTGCCTTTTTTTTTTCTTCCTGCAGGTTATGCGGCCTTCACTCCCCCCTCTGAGCCCAAGGGACAAAGAGAAAGGCTAACGGACTGAGGGGGGGGCCACACTTCGCCACCCCCACCACCTACCATGACCCACCCGCAGGTCTCTTCCGAACTCCACCCCATTATCTCTGCAACGGGGGTGAGTGGCTTCATGGGGTGGGCGGGGGGTGCGCCGTGGGGCTGGAATCTCTGGCCTGTTCCTTTGGGGATGGGGGCCGGTGGGTGGGGGCTTTGGGGCTCCAGGAGTAAACCACCAGCCTGGTAACTGGGCAGGTCCCACCATCCTCTTCTTCCCTGAAGTCTAAATGTGAGGACCCTCCACTCCAATCATCCTCCTCCACTCTCACTCGCGCTCTCTGCCTACCTGCACACGTACATACACACCCTGTTTTCCCGAAAACAAGACAGGGTCTAAGTTTTGCTCCAAAACACGCATTAGGGCTTATTTTCAGGGGATTATTTTTTTTCATGTACAGCCATCTACATTTATTCAGATACAGTCATGTCACCTCCTTCAGGTTGATGCACAAGGGGGGGGCGGGGTTTCACTTAACTGGGACTTATTTTGGGGGTAGGGCTTATATTACGAGCATCCTGAAAAAATCCTACTAGGGCTT